AAAGGTTAGCTTTTTACTTCTTGGCAGATTTATGCCCTGTGGCTTCTATGCCCAGCACTTGTCTCGAGGTATCTTTACCACCTGGAGGAATTATGATACTCGGTAAATTCGATATGAGGCACGAATTCTATTTAAGGGTTGTAATTAGGAAGGAAGAAGAAAAGCTATAGAGGTAGGGAAGAAAACATGGGAGGATTGATTATTTCCTTTGTCTATTTTTTTAACTGGGTTGTCTTTTTATTCTAAAGTGAGATAGGAAGCCATTGGAGCATAGGTGTGACATGATCTGTTTTACATTTTAGAGGCTCTCTCTGACTGCTGTGTTGAGACTAGTCTCAAGGAGGAAGAGGGCAAAAGCAGGGAGACCAGTTAGGAGCCCAGAGCAATAACCCAGCCAAGACATGATAATGTCCATTTTAAACCACAGTGGTAGCAGTGAGATATGAGAAGTGTTTTCATTCTGGATACATCTTGAAGCTCCAAGTGCCAAGATTTCCTGATGGACTACATGTGGGACATCTAATAATGATAAGTTCTGAAACCCTCCAAGTCTTGTCCTGAGAAACTGGAATGATGGGAATGTCAGTAGTTTGATTTTGGACATGCTAAGTTTGAGATGCCTATTAGGCATCCAAGTGGAGGTTGCGTTAGCAATTGGATATACACAGCTCTGGGGTTTAGAGAATCCAGGCTGGAAAAAAATGTGTAAGCTGCCTACAAAAGGTAAATACCTTTAAAAAGTCATGAAACAGCATGACATCACCAAGTCAGTGAGTGAATAGAATAGAAAAAGTTTTTGTTGAATCAATGAAAAGTTTACTCACATATATGTGTGTGTGTATATTTTGGGGGAAGTGTACTAATCCTGTAGTTTCTCATGCCACTAATTAGCGTATAAATACATTTTGTGTGACACCTTGCATTCATCTTAGGTCAAAAGTCCCAGCTTCAAACAGTGTGTGTATGTGCCCCACAACCTTCAACTTCCCCTTATTGATAAGCTATTGATAAAATTGAAAATTTTAAGAGCCACTTAGGAAGTGCAAAGAGGAAAATACTTCCCAATTACAATTATTGGACAAGACCTTACCATTCACATTCAGCTGACAAAAAACAAACGGGAAAGTATTTTTTTAAAACCTCAAAACCGTTTGAGATGCTATGTTGAAATATCAAGTACATGATTTCTCCAGACACATCCCTTTTCAGCCCTGATGAGGTATCACATACAGCTAGCATGAGTTCTAAATGAAAATGCTTATGTAAAAACCCCTGGACCTGAGAAGTTTCCCTGGGGGACTGTTTTCTCTTACGGGGATTTTACAGTTATGTTGGTCTTATAAAATTACACTTAACTTAGTTGGGCAACACAAAGAAATAACTAGCTCAGTTCCTTTGGAATCTAGCTGTCTAAATCCGTCTGGAAATGCTTTGTGCATGAAGAGGACACTTTCCTTAGGTAGTATTTTACATCGGTGCATTCTTTTCTGTACTGCACAGAATCTTCAGAATATGTACAGCACTTTTTAAAAGTGTTCAGCATTCCTCCCTTTTCCAATACAACAAATTCTTGATTAACCATGTCCCCTATACCGACCTCCAGCCCTGAAAGTGTTAGCCACAGCAAAGTTGTAATTAGGGACTGGATTTCTTCCAGGTCTCCCGCTCCTAGACTGCTTCTCCTCACCTACAAATGTAGGCTCAAAATTAGTCACATTCACATTAAGATCATCCAAACAGAAGCACTGAGAAAATAAATTGCTGTTCTCCTTTCCAAATATAACGCATTTCAATGTAACATACAACTGTTTTGGTTTAATAATGTACATAAAAGTCTTTGTTAAAATATGAATGACAAGTTTTATTTAGAAAGTAATCATCCTCATCATACATGTATAATGAACTCTGTAAAGCAATCTTGGTGATCCGTCACATCACATTTGGGGTTACACATATCACTGGTCTATTCCAGTAGCATGGCCACTCAAAAGCAGATTATAATTCATGAGCTATTATATACTAGGATTTTTACAAATAAGGTACTTCAGGAGGCAAAATGGAAAAAGAAATTAAAATGCACAACTTATATTCATCTACGGAAGTAATGGTCCCCAGTTGTGAACTAATTACTATGCTTGGAAAATGCTAGCATCCTCATGAATATGTTGAATTATTGTGCAAAATCTGAATTTTGCAAACTTTGAAAAGGCAGATTTTTGTGACATCTCTTAAGCATTGCCCTGAGAGCATAAGGAATGTTATTAACTAAATGAAACATTTCAGCCACGAAAGGAGTCTTCTTCAAGGGGATACCTTTACCAAGGGTAAAGACTTATTAAGGACTCTAAGAAAAATCTGTAAGTTTATAAGTAGAGGAAAAGAAACAACTATGAAAAGTGGACCAGCTGAGAACTCACCCTGAGGATGGGATGAGATGTGACAGGATTGCTCCTGCCCCAAAACAGTATTCTCTTTCTATGAACTGCTGGAATGCTTTTTGCACTTTGCTTGGAAACACTCTGAACATTTTTCTGTGAATGTGTCATTTGGTTCTGAGGCATTCCCATGTAAAAACGCAGCTGCAGCACTGTGTGCTAAATGCAGGACTACATAGGTACTGGTAAGGGTTTCAGATGTGGGGAAGATGATCCCATGTCATTAATTCTTTCTGGGAAGGATTTTGATTACATTGCCTTCTTAGCACCAATGTGTAAATTTCTCAGCTACACCAAGAAAACTGATTGGTAGGAGTAGAAAGGTGGGTAACTTTGGAATGTGAAGAACCTCTGGAGGCAGGGCAGCCTAGGAGGAAGGCCCTAAGTTGGAGAGGAGGCCAGCAAACCTCACAGGAGTGTACCTGGACTCCAACGGCATTTGGGGTTATGGAGGGCTGCAAAACTCTCAGAGAAAGACCTTGTCCTTGGGAAGAGGTGGAATTACACTTTGCATTCTCCAAACTGTTTATACTATCCTCTTTCCAAGACCCAAAACTCAGGCAGGTACCTTGAGCATTATAGATCAGCTACATTAGGGTTAAGCATGCCTCAGATGGCTTGGCCTGGGAACTCAGTCACCAATTCATAACATTGTTTCTGTGGGAAAGTGTTTTCAAAGTCCACCCGTAAGCCAGTTGTTTGGAACGTGATAGAATCCTTTCATAAAATTACTTACTTGTGTGCAATTTTGTATGCATATTCTTAGTTTTAGAATGTAACCAATGTGCTTTTAATCTCCAAACTATATTGTAGTATATAGGGGAAAAAATCAATCTCTCATATAAGGAAAAGATAATGTCCAGTGTTCGTGTGACCAAGGTGAAACTTCTGTGTTGCACATTCATATATAGCAATACTTCCTATTCACGTTTATTACTTAAATGATACATAGGCACTGCAAGGTAAGTGTCTCTGTTTTCAGACACATAACAAATTCAATCACCTACCACTTCAATAAACCATTCCCTTATTAGAGAATAGCTAGAAATACTCTAATTGGAAGTACCTTTTATCATTCTGGAAATACAATCAAAAGGCAATGCTTTTTGGCTACACATTAAGGCTACCTTGACCTTGGCTATTTGAATTGCACACAAGGAACAAAGCCACTTTTGCAAAAGGTAATGTAACTATTTCTACGTTAGGAAAAGAAGTTATTACAAGATGACTAGACATTTAAAATGATATCTTAAAACTTATTGCTGTTATATTATTGCAGGACAGATGATTGCTCAAAACTGCTCATTTCGGATTACCAAGAAAGTCTAACTTTTTTTTCTTTTAAGCAAGGTTACATTAGAATAAAGACTTTTAAAATTAATCTTTTCTTTAGTGTTAAAAGAAATTTATTACAGTAAGTGCAAGTGTTATAAAAAATGCTGCTTAAAATTATAAAGTGTCTACATAATTATTCTAATATAAATATTGGGAATGACAACTTTAACAATTCTATATGTACACAGAACATTGAAAACAGAAAATCATGCACAAGGCCAAAATAGAACTTTGCACATTATCCTTTTAGGTCTCACTTTTATCTTCTAGAGCCAGCAAGATTCTAGGATATGAAGGGGTCTGTAATTACTCAGATTACAAACTTCAAGGTTTCCGTGTTTCAATGTATGTCAGTTATCACACATCAACAACGCTTTAACATTTCTTATATTCTGATCAAGTGGTTTTAGTTCCCATAGTCCCTTTCTTAATAGGTCTTGGACAAAAAGTTGAACTACAAAAACTGTGATTACAGAATCCAGCATGACATGTATTGTCAATGATTCATTTAAAAGTGGTAAAAAGTATTACATATAAATACCTATAGGATGTGGAAGACAAAAAGTACATCAACATGCAATTAAAACTAAGCAGCTCCCTCTACTTGCTTACTCGGCTCCCTGTCTCTATGGAAAGGAGAGTCCAGAGCCGCGAGGCAGTGAGAGCAAATCGGAGCTGCTGGGAGTGTGTTACGCAGGAGGTGGGGCAGGGGCGGGGCCAGCGCGGAGCAGCACAGGGAAGGAACTTATACAGTATCACCTATTCCTCCCTATCCAGCTGAAGCGGGGACGGGTTCCAGCCCAGCCTCCCTCCCTACATCCCAGTGGGGTGCTGGGGTTCTTCGGTCCCCCGAAAACTGTGAAAACAGCGTGCCTTTCAGGCAGTAGGAAGGCACTGCTGTTCCCTACTGAGAGCACTTCATAAATTTGAGGGACAGTCTATATATTACAGGTTTGGACATTTTGCAAATACCAGAGAGTTTGAACATGAGAGTAGTTGAAGTAACTTCTACAAATGATCAGCTAATGCCCAGAGAGGTTACGTTGCTCAGCCAAGGGGAAGACAAGGAAGCTCGGTGTGATGCTTGAAGTCCTCTGTGACAGTGCTCGTCAAACTTTAACATACATACGATTCACTTGGGATCTCAACAAGACAACACTAGGTCCAGGGTAGGGCCTATGGTCATGCACTTGTAATAAGCTCCTAGGAGATACTGATGCTCTCAGTCGATGGACCACACTTTGAGAAGCAAGGGTTCACACCACAAAGAGTCTACAACACAAACACCTCTGCTTCCCTGAGCCACAAGGATATCTTGCAAGTCCTGAGCGGCACTGAGACCTGCTCCAGTGTTACCTGCCTACCAGAGCACATCTCTCAGGCAAAAGGTGTGGAAGCACTGCAAAAGTGAACAGCTGTCTAAAACCTACGTAATATATTTTCTGAAAGCACCATATCAACAGCCAAACAAATAATATAATTCAACTTGAATAAATGGAGAGGTCTCTTTGCTGGGAATAAAATTAAACTTTTTCTCATGTAGTCTTCCTTAAAGTGAACATGATATTAAAGGTATAAAAAACCCCAGCATATGAAATTTCATAGTGAAAGGCCACATGTGCACATATACACATATAGTATGAATTCTAAGAAATCAAATGCATTTTCTCAGAACAAAGTGCTACCACTGCTCCCAGCTAAAATCATCTCCTCTTCCAAATACAAGGAAAAAACCTTGAATTGTAAGGAAAATGACTGCATTGCCTGCCAGCACAAGGCCACAGGCTCCCCATTTGATCTGAAACACAAGAAAAGAGGATTAAATGTTTACTTTCTTCATATTGTACTTTAGGCAAATCTGTTAGTTTCTACATTTAAAACATCCAATGAAATATTACAGAAAACTGACAAAAGGTTTAAAAATGTAACAGGAGGGAGACAGTGAACTATTCAGTAATTGGTCTAATTTTTTCAAGGTGTTTGTTAATTAAGTCTAGTATCACCCTTAACATTTTCCCCAATTAGACATATTTCTCTACTTGTTTTCAGTAGATGACTGCCTTGAATAAAATACAAGCAGCAAGATTATAAAGGGTCCAATTACAATACTGGGTACTGACTGTTCAGTACACATTGCCTTCTCTCATGAAAATAGGAATCGGAGAGTTATAGATTGGTTTGTTTCTTTTCTAAGCAAGGAAAGACTTTAAATAACAATCTGCACATAAATGAAAAAAGCGTTCCAGCATAGCAGATGGTTTTAGAGGTGCAGTTGGGGATGAGAGTGCCCTCCAGTGGGAAATTTTTGTTTCAATTTAACCAACAGCATCAGTTGAAAGGTTCTTCATGATACATGATGCATAAAAACAGAAATCTTTACTGCAAAAGTTAAGAAGTACTAGTCTAAAGCACAAAAAGAATTAAGGTGATAATTTTTCATTCAAAAATGTGCAATGTTTCTCCATTATCTAGACAGAGTTCAAAGTGACATGACATTCAAGACCCTTCCCAATTGGGCTTCACCAACCCTTTTAGCCTTGATCTCCACCAAGCACTTTTGCTCCATCATATTGGACTGTTCATTATTCCACATACTGCATTTTCACACTTAAGGGCCATTGCTTAAACAGCCTTCCCTACTATAATCAAAACCCTATTTTCCCTTTGAGGCCCATATCAAATGCCAGTTGGAATTTCTCTATTATTGGTGTTCCTATGGAATTCTGATCATGCTTCAATTATCACACATTAATACACTTATAGTGTACTTACCCATCAAGCTAGTTTCTGTACTCTTTGGGAACAGAGATGGTATCTAGCTCTTATTCCTGGTATCTTACAAATAGCAGATGTTTCAAAGATACTTACTGAATGAAGTAAGACTTGTGCATATCTGATATTCAATGCACCAAATAAGAATTTCATGAAATTAAAAAAGTATGTAGTTGGGGGGATTAAAAGCAAATAGTATGAAAGACAGTGAACATCAAAGAATTGAATAAATTATACCCACAATGTGCATTCTGGAGACAAAAAGAGAAATTTTACAGTGATGTGAAGATGTAATCTTATTCACTGTATCTTCCCTATCTTCAGTTTTCTCTCAATAGATGCCTATTGTATTGAGTTGAAAATTGTGTCCATGATCTTACTTGCAGGAGAAGAATTTGATATGATGTTCATTTTGGAGCTAGCAAAATATTGCTATTATAGTCTCTATGGATTGCCCTGAGATAAAGAGGCAACAATTTAAGAACAATTCCAGAAAACAGCTTATGGTAGAAAAAAACAAGAAATCCCATGGGCTGGCTAAAAGCTATAAGAGAAACAAAACATTCTGAATACATGGCCAAGATGCTGACAGGTAGATCTAAAATGGAAGAACTGAGAAACTAAAAAATGCAGCTGGATTTGAGCATGATGCCTAAGCCATGGAAATGAAATTGAGGATCCTGACCCAAGCCTTTGAAGTAAACTCGGCAACAACTGGACAAAACAATTGAAAACAAAACTTACCACAGCCACACGAGCAAGAATAACAGGAAATCCAAAGGCAGAAACAACAATTCCAGTAGTGAAAAAATATGCCAGTTCCCGACAGGCACTACTTGCTGCATCAGAGTCATACGTCGCTCTTTTGGCAATGAAATGGGGAATGGGAGAGATGGCGTGGAATACCAGGACAAACAAGGGCCAGTACACGCTGCCATTGCACCCAGAAGAAACCCAAAGAGAAACGTTACAATTATATTTTAAATTAAAGATACACTACTATTTCAAAGTTATTATTATTTTAAAAGTCCAGGTCAAAAACTTATTTACCCAGTTGTCAATAGAAGTACATAAGATGATTTCTATCAAGAAAAGTAATGATAATTAAAAATTACTAGTCCATTAACACATATGTATTGTGTTAATAAACAACTATTTGCTCTTCCTATAGAACAGAGTGGGTGCCTCACACATGCTAATTCAACAGAGATCTTTCGAGTGCATGCATGTTGGAAATGTTTCAATGGCTTAGAATAAACCCCAGATTCTTTGCCATGTCCTGCAAGGCCTTACATAATCTGGTCAACTTTCATTCATTCTGTGTTATTTTTCCTTTATTCCCACAACAGCCTTCTTTTCCATTCTTGAAACACTTGAGTCCGACCTTTCCTTAGGGCCTGTGCCCCGCCCTCTGCTTGGAAGGCTTCTCCTCCCGACCTTCTCATTGGCTGGCTCCTTTTTATCATGCAATCTAAACCGAGGGGTCTCCTCCAAAGCAGGCTTTCCCTGACCATCCACTTCATATACACCACATCACTTCGAGCACATCGCTCTCTTAACTTTCTGCACACCACCTATTCCTATTTGATACTTTATTGCTTATGAGAACAAGCGTCTGATTTGTCTTAATCAACCACCATTTACCTCCAGGGTTTAGAGGTAACCAAGAGGTACTCCATTAATACTTAGTTAAATGAACAAAACAAATGTATTTTTAAGTATAGAAGTCATAAAAATAAGTACGCTTACTAGTAAAAACTTTAGCTGTACTCTCATCTTTATTGTAGGAGATCACAGTCATACTATAAAGCAAAAATGTTGTTTTCTTCCCAAATTTCAGCATGTTGCATTTACTAAAAATTGCCATCTTTTTGCAATTACATTTGCTCCACAAATACTTCAAAAATATTTTTCTCCATCAGTTAGACATTTATTGTGCTTTACTCCTTGAGGAAGAAAAAAGGATAGTCTCTACTCATTTTTATATATATACCCACATCACAATAATATGTATCATCATGATATCATGACAGCACAGATCCACCCAGCCAGCACCTCCAAGCAGAAATTGTGGCAAAGCCACACTGTAACGAAACCTCCATTTCAGCCACAGACCTAGCAGTGCAAGATGGTAGCCAAAAAGCAAGAAGGGAAAGTGACTTTCATCAAGAGGACTCAGGATGGAAACACAGAGTTTGAAATCCTAACTTCAAACTTGACGAATTAAAATACATTTCAAAAATCATCAAATAGCATTCTGTTGAAAGAAGCTTTTAGAGATTCTTTAGTTCAAAACTTTTTTTTAACCTGTGAGGAAACTGAGATAAAGTGAGACACAAAGAAAAAAAGGTTTGGAATAGATCGAGCTGTCACCTGACATGCCCCAGACAGTTCTTCCTAGAATAATGTTATTTTTCTGAAAAACAATCTAAGAGACTACGTTCCCACTCACAGCAAGCCATCAATATTCAACTAAGAGAATGGTAAATGTAGAAGCAATCTTGTTTATATATACAATTTAAGTATGAAATGCTACAGTAAACATGTAGGCCAGGAGTTGGCAAACTGTAGAGGACCAAACAGTAAATATTTTAGACTTTGCAAAACACAAGTTCTCTTTGTCAGCCATTCAACTCTGCCACTGTAGTATAAAAAGAGCCAAAGATAATACATAAACAAATGGGTGTGTCTGCGTTCCCATAAAACTTTAATTACAAAAACAGGCAGCAGGCTGTACTTGGCCTGTGGCCCAATTTGCTGACTCCCAATATAGATGACAATCCTGGGTCACCATTACTGAAGTAGAACATTAATTTCTATGTAGTAGCAGTAATGGGTCATTGTCTTACCTTTTAGTGATACAGTGTATCACACAGAATTAAAACAACTGGATTTAGAGTTGGTTATGGAATAATGGAAAAGCCTCCAGTCAAGAGAATCAGAACATGAGTTCCACTTCCATTTCTGCCACTTACTGCTGTGCAATCTGGGTTAAGTCTGCCACTCTGTGCTCTTGGTTTCCCAGTGAGAAATGAGGATAATAAGTTACATCCCTAAAGCTAGACTAAAGTAATAGGTACGAAAGCTCTGGACAAATGCAAGGTATTGCTTATAACTGGGTCCCTCTTCTGCTTAAATGATTTCTGTGACAGTTGGTGGGTACTACAGTGACAGACTTAAACTTATCACTGTCATGACCACTAGCTCCACTTGATCTAAGTTAGTCCCATGATCTTCTACCCAGTTGCTCAAGCCAATCGCGAGACATTCAAGATCTCTCTCCCCTGCTGAACTCTGCTATCAATTAACAAAACTCAGTGGTTCTGTTGCCTAGATCTCACCTCCCTTTCTTTCCATTCCTACTGCCCCAGCCCTAAATTTTGCTGGATTTATGTAGTCCCTTCCTTCTCCCTGACTACACTGCTAGCACTCTCCTATCTCGTCTCACATTTCAGCCAGATGGACCTTTTTTTATCATAAACCCTCAAAAACTGTTCTTGAGCTATTTTCCCAGCTCCTATTGCTTAAAGTATAAAACTGACCTCCCTTCATACAGCATACACAGCCCTGAAGACTGACTCTACACCCTCACCCAACCCTTCTTTCCCATCCCAGCTACAATTTATGCTCTACAATAATGACCCACATGTGATTTCCTGAACAGACTCATGCTGTCATGCTCTGGGCCTTAGCCTATGGCTTTCCTACTGCCTAACGTCCTCTTTCCCCATGTTTCTGTATGGCCTGCTTCCTCGTTTTCTTTAGCTTTCTGCTCACGTCACCCTCTCAGAGAGGTCTTCTCTGACTGCCCTCTCCCCAACTTCTATGCCCTTTATCCTTTATTCTTCATAACACTTCTACCTCTCATAGAGCATATTTTTTAATCTGTGTACAGTCTCCCCCACTAAAATATAGACTCCAAGACAGCAGGATCTTTGTTTTCTTGTTTCTTAATCTCCAGTTCCTATAATAGTGGCTAGCATATGGTAAGCACTTGACCAACAGCTGCTGAATAAAGAAATTTACTCACTATTGCCTCTGCTCGGAATGCCCTCCCCTGACCCCTGACATGTCAGCCTGATAAACTCTTATTTATCCACCAAGTCTCAGCTTCAAGACATCTTCTATGCAGCGTCCCCTGCCTCTCCCAGGGAAGCTCAGATGCATGCCCAGGGAGGAGCTCCTGGTATCTGCATACATCTCCACAGCAGCTATCAACCTCATGGACTGGACCATTTGCCTGCCTGTCCTGGCACAACTACACCTGTAAACTCCTCAAGCACAGGACTGCATCTCTTCATTCTTGTATTCCTGGTTCATAGTAAGTGTTCATAAATCCTGATTAAATGAATGCTTCAATTTTAAGAAGAGTTTTCTCTGAGCAAATACAACTGACCCATGAAGGCCCTGGGTTCATAATCTGGACTTCACAAATTCATTGGTTAGAGCTCGGTGCTAAAGTGAGCAAACTAACACCCTAGTAGAGACAGAGATACAAAGAGAATAGTTCTTTTGAAATGACCACTTACCCGTAACCTTCTAAAGCACATCCCAGCATGAGAAAAGTCAACCCAATAGCCCCACTGAAGGACAACGCCACAAGAGCTGTGGAAAATAACACCAAGAGTTAAAAAGGTTCCAGACCAATGGTTGCTAGAGGCTCAGGGAGGAGTGAAGGAATGGGGATAACAGAGTTTTTTGGGGGTGATGAAATGTTATGGAATCAGTAGTGATGGTTGCACAACTTTGTGAATATATGTAAAACCACAATACTACTTCAAGTATTTGCAGATTGTTTTCATGTCTTCACAGAAAATGATTCCCAACCAGCGTCTACTGAATATTTATTCCCTGCATCTGTTAGACACTAATCTCTGAAGGGATAGGAACCTATTTCTCCTTGTCATGCTACTAAGTGGGAGACAGAATATATCAGGGTTGTTAAAAAATCTTGAACACTGGGCAACCATCATGGGTTCCAGTCCTGACCTGCCACCAACTGGTTATGTGCCCTTGGGTAGAAGGCAAACCTCTTTAAATCTGATTTCTCACCTGTAAAATAGGAAACAATGGTGCCACCTTCCCACGGAGCTTATGGGAATTAAATGAGATAATGTACGGTAAAGTGCTTGCCACAAGGAGGCGCTCAACACATGTTGATTAATGAAGGCATCTGTTCATTTTACTAATCATCCTTGATAAAGATACGAATCAAAAGCACCAGTTACAGTATTAGCCACATTTTCTTCTGAAAAACCCCACAATACTCAAAATTAGTCACTGACTAAACTAATTAACATTCTCATTGCTTCCTTTTAACTTAAGAATGATTTGGGTGGGCTGTTTTATAGGAAGATGCCAAGGTGTTTTTAAAAACATCTGTAGTATACAGATGTTAGGGGACAAGGAAGGACTATTAATTTAATTTATATATTTTCCCATTTAGTATCTATTACGTTTTAGAAGAAAAAATGCACAGAGGTAACGTTTCACATATTGTTTCATTACAGATGATCTTTTCCTTACAGTTGGTGTCTTGCCAATGGGTTTCAGCCCCAGGCAAGTTTGCTATGGATTCAGTGTGACCAAAGAAAATGACAGCAAAACATTCTTGGGGTGAGAGGGTTATACCCAACTTTATTTCCAGGTGGCAGGTCAGTCACTAAAATCCTGTTCACTCAGAGGGAGTCTGCATGCAGCAAGCCGGTCTCTGCCTCTGGGCCCCTCTGTCCGCACAGCCGTCCTCTGGGCCCCTCTGTCCACACAGCC